AAAGGAAGAGGAAGGAAGAAAAGGAAAAGAAAGCAAATGGCTTTGAATGGAAGTCTCCAGACTGTTTTGGCGAAGGTGGCTGCCTCTCCTGGCTCAGGAGGGTTGGCTGAGGTGGATGACCCCTGTGGCCATAATCGATTAACAGTGGCTTTCAAACTTGATGTCACCTTAAGTCATTCATGTCACTTGTGTGGGCAGTTCTTCCCAGTCAGGTCCCATTGAGGTTGGTCTTGGCCTGGATTCTCTGGGCGTAGTACCCAGATGGGAGTCTGCTCTGGAACTCACCACACACATTTTCTGCTCCTGCAGAGAATGGTCAGGAGGGAGGCTCTATGTTCCTTTCACCTTGCCTGCCTTTACTGGGTCCCCATGAGGTTTCCACGCAATTCAGTTTGAAAACCACTGGCCTTTGGTGTCTCTTTCTTCTTTTTCCTCCTCCGTTGCTCTCTAAGGTTGCTCCCATCTTTATCCCTTTTGGCGTTTTGTTTTCTACAATCTTTCTTTCTAGGGCCATAGTAAAGAACATCAGTTGTCTTAACAACGTGGTTCCCAGCCTTGCGTCCCCAGATGTTCTTGGACTTCAACTCCCAGAATTTCCACCACCACCTCTGCTGGCCAGGATTTCCAGGAGTTGTACTCCAAGAACATGTGGGGACCCAAGGTTGGGAACCAGTGTCTTAACACATAGACAGGATGCCTCCAGATGCTGTCGGATTCCTAGCTCCCATCAGCTTCCACCAGCATGGCCAGTGTCCAGGGAGGGCGAGAACTGTCATTTAAAAAGATCTAGAGAGGATTACAAGTTGGCCACTCCTAGTTTTATAGCACAGCCCTATGCAAGTTTATAAGAATTAAAGCTCACTGCCTCCGGCGTGAATACTTAGGATCGCTGCATCTGAGACACGCATGCACAGGAGCAATCTCTCTGAGATCAGAAGGCCTCCTTCAGAAGAAACATATTAAGGATTGAGTCAAAATTCTGAAATTCTGCCTGCACGCGATTGCCTGTGACCCACTGAACTCAATGAGGCCCTTGAGTAAACATGAACATGATCAAGTTGTATGTGGATCAGCAGATCTTTTCATTTGGGATCCCCAGCACAGTGGGTAACAGGCAAAATGGGAGTCAGTCCGGTTCTACTCCCCCACCCCCACCCCCGGTGTTGACACAGGATGGACTGATTTGGGGTTGCAAATCTATTGGCTAGATTTTAAATCAGAGTGGCCAGCTTCTTTGTTTAGAGGAGCACTCTGTTCTGCTGAGAGTGGTCTTTTTGCCTGGAAAGTAAATTTTTGGGTACATAATCCCTAATCATTTCACCTCGTCTTGATTAAGTTTGGAGTGTCCAGAGGCATTAAAATGGCCTCATGGACTAAGGTTTTCCTCAAAGGCTACTAGCAGACTGTTCTTGCATGGGCATACGCTCGAGCATTGCCAGGTGGCTAATTACTGGTCTGTACATGAAAGAGTTGTTAGGGCTGAGGACCAGAAGGAATGCACTGCGGACAAACTTGGGTAGCTCTTTCCAAAATGCCTGCTAGCATTGATAGAATGTACACAGAAGTTGCTCTACTTGTGGCAAAAAACCAGCAGCAACAACAACAACAACCTGGAGGGTGTGCAGTGCATTTCTGTGTCTGCTGTAAACTCCCAGTCTCGCCACTCACAGGTAGAGTGCAGATGTTGTGTCTAGATCGGCCCCAGCATCCTGTTGGTTGGGCTAGGAGATAATCCTGCCTGAAAACCAGGTGAGCTGCTGCCAAAGAGGGTGTGGGTCGACCTGAGCTTAGATGGACCAGTGGTAAGACTGGGCATGAGGTGGGTTCCTCTCTTACTCACAGCATCTCTGTGTTAGAACCACTTTCAGTTAGGTGGGGGGGGGTATTTTGATCTCATAGCAATAATGGCTTCAAGTGTAGTTATGTAGATTGGTTTACAAAAGAAAAAGCTGAGTGCACTCAGAGTAGGTTAAACCATGCTTATGGTACGTTTGGTGACCTCAAGCATCATGGTGTTTCAGTGGCCTGAATCCAGATGGCCATCCCCAACAAGATTAGACCCAAGGAAGCAGTGGGATTGATGTAAGTGTTGCCATTCTGCTGAACTGTTGATTTAGTTGGGTATGCTCTAGTTGGCAATTAAGGGTGGGTTGGGTTGCACGCCTAGTATTAAAACAAAAGGGTCAGTTTCTTTTTGTAGTCATAATTTACCAAAATGGCAGAGGTTTTTTGAATGGACATTTTAGATTGCGATGTGCTGGAAAGAAAGGACCCGAGCAATTTATCATCGTTCATGTGTCACATACTTGGTGAGCTCTTAAGCAAAGGGAGAATCTCTGACATGCATCTCATGCAGTCCACCTTAGTTAAGAGGAAAGAGATGCTCTTGTGTGGCATTCTCCCACACACACACACACACACAGCGGAGCAAATTGTGCCATCTGGAACTTTGGATGAGAGATGTTATCTAGGGGCAAGATTCATCTGAGGCATAGCAAAAGACTTACTTGCTTGGTTTTAGCAATCCTACTTACTCCCAGGATCATTTTCTGCCAATTCTATCTAGGTCTTGGTGAATCAAGGCTTGTTTAGGACATTTTGCCAAGGAGATGTGTTTTACAAGAGGGAGGAAAAATCTCCCCAAATGCTTCAATAGGAAAGTTTTCTTTGAGGTTTATGTGTGAAGCAAAATAAGAAAGAGAACCTTCATGCCACAAAATCTTGCCATATCTAGGTCTAAAGAACTGGTTGTTGTTTCATGTTTGTGCCCAATGATTCAGAAATATAAAACCAATCACAGAACTTCATTCTGCTTGCTCTTGCAATTAAATTTTTAATAAAGATGGACAATTTCATGTCCATGTATTCCACTTGAAGGAGAAAGTGATTCCCTCTCCATTGCTTAAGGATATGTGCCATGCCATTACAGCTTCGGAAGAACCATAAAATTGTGGTATAAGACAACAGGTGTCTCTAGAGCTGACTCAGCAGGGTTGAGAGGTCAACCCATTCTAGCTGATGGAATCTTTCCTGGGTTTAGTCAGAAAATTGTTAATTCTTTTGCTTGCTAGTCAGCTTCTACGTTTGTTGCCTGCCAGCTGGACAAGCATGATATACCACTAGCATAATGTTAACAATCAAAGCTTATGGTGAGGTCCATCCGAGGAAGAACAGCAACCCTCATTAGATTAGATAGAGTGAGCAGATACCGGAAGGCATAGGTGATGTTTTGGCCCGCTTTTTATCTCCTAAGTGAGAGTGCTGCCTTCAGGTATGGTGGAAGAAGTTGCCCCTTGTCAGTTTTAAAGTGCGGGTCAAACTGTATGCTGCAGACGAGACCTTGACACCTCGGGGAAAAGGGGATTTCCTAATTGACAAGAATGTGAGATGGCCACAGCAGATGGTTTTTACACCACGCCCAATAGTTTGCCAATCAGTTTGCTTTGTTTTATGATTGGTCGCTGGTAGGAAAGCAGACTGGTATGATCACTTAGTCACAAATATCTGTCGGAATCAGGAACCCTCTCAGATTCCATCTTCTGCTATGACGTATACTTTGGCTATAAGAGTCAACTTGCTGGCTTAGCCAACCTTCTGCATAGACTAGGAGGGGGCACTACCTTGTGTTGTGCCTCCCGCAGCGTAATGTCTTGGGCTGGCCTGGGTTTAGTTCTGTCCAGGCGCTCTTTGGTTTACAGGGAGAAATACAGAAAGCAAACAGCTTTGAAAACTAACCCCGGTAGAGGCCACGTCTGCCTTTTTTTCTTCCTTCCATGGAGACTAAATTGGAAATTGGATTGTGAAATTGTGAAACATTTTGAATCTCCAACTAAGGAAAGTGATACAAGGAAACAGGCGCTGGCATAGGCAGCAAATGCAGATGGCCTGCTGGATCCGAGTCCACATTACACTGTTCATCCAGTCCCCACAGA